TCAAAAAGGCGGGGCATAGAGGAGAAACAATAATGTACAGTATGTGGAAAATAATGTGGTTTTTTTTTACTTTAAACCGCATGAACACATTTAATTACACCAAATACACAAAATAATGTTCTTTTTAGCAACATCATATGACCCCTTTAATCTCTGAGGAAGGTTGTGCCCTGTGCTGATGTTTCTGCCCACTCATATTGTTTGGGGCGGCTTTGAAACAGCCATAGCATCCTGTAAGCCTCTCCACAGTAGGCCTATTACTGACAGAGCTGAAGAGATCAACACATTACTGTGTAAAAGATTAGTAACTAGTAATTAGTAAATTAGTCTAAATGAAATCTAAATACACTTTTTCTTATACAATTATTAGTAGAGTAAAAAGTTGAAAAAAAGGTAACACTTTAGTATAGGGACCAATTCTCACTATTAACTAGTTGCTTATTAGCATGCCTATTATTAACATATTGGCTGTTTATTAGTGATTATAAAGCACACATTGTGCATGACCATATTCTACATCCCTAATCCTACCCAATACCTAAACTTTACAACTTCTTTACTAACTATTAATACACAGCAAATTAGGAGTTTGAGGCAAAAGTCATAGTTAATGGTTTGATAATGGTGATAATTGGACCTTAAAATAAAGTGTGACCAATAAAACCCCATGAATGTCAGAATTTCTTGGTAGTTGGTTAGCCCCTTTCATAGAGACACTGAGAGCTGGATAAGAGAGAACCTTTAAAAAAAGATGGTAACAGGGTTTTTACCTTGCAGTAATAGCATCTGGCCATCTATTCCTTACCAGATGCATAATATCCTCATCCATCCTCAGGTAACAAATTTTATGTGTATAATTTGAATGCATTAAATTAGTCAAGCAGATAAATTAAAACACTTGAATACACTGATAAATTATTCAGTTTCTGTATAATTGTGGTTCTCTGTTTTGACATGGGTATTTAAAATGGATTGATGGCTTCTCAAAAAGCATGAAAAAGATTTTAGCAAACTAATCTACAAAATGTTATTATTTTAAAAATGAACCTACGCTTTATTTTTCTTTTTTATTTATCCTGTATATGTACACACTAAATTACCATAGTGTATGAAATGTGCTATAAATACAACTGCCTTGTCAGACATGGAATGTAAACCTGCACACTGCATTATGGAAACAAAAATAGCATCAATTGGTTATACACTTTAATTTTGAGTGCATTGCTATAGTGCAATAAAAATAAAAAGGGTCTATTTACTTTACCAAAAATACTGTCATCTCACAATAATAATAATAATAATTAATAATACAAAACAATGTTGAAGTGGGAATAGAGATTTTGGTGTGAATGAGAGAAGAATGATCATGTTGTACAACATCAGCGGTTATTAATGTCAGACTGTAAAATATAAATTTTTGTCATGATTGATAGTATTGATAATTTAAGTCATGTTCTGGCATCCGCATTGACAAATGAAACTGAAATGGTTCCAAACAATCTCAAAAAAACTCTTTCCCTAATAATAATGTTCCTCTTGGACAAGAAAATAAATAATCTGTCTGAAGTCTGTCATCACTTGACAGAAGAGGGAATGTGCGGACTGCTCATTTTCTAGAGCAACCTAAAGTTAATTTTACTGCTACAAATGAAGTTAATTATAAAGATATTTAAGTCCCTCTTCTAATATTTCAGTCACAAGCATTTTAAAGGCTGGTTCACCCCAAAAAATAACATTCTGGTAGCATTTATTCACCCTTGCTCCAAACCCACAAGACCATCAAATATGGTAAACATAAGCTCAAATGTGCATGCTTAATTTGTGACAATAAATGAAATTTGCATTCTGAAGATGAACAGAAGTGAGGAAAAAAAAAGAGAGTTTTCATGTTTGGATGAACTAACTCTTTAATCTACTGTATTGATAAAATCATGGTAAAATCATCATTACTAAAAAAGCCATGACATATGAAATGTTGAACCCAACAAAAGCCAAACTCAATGTGCACCAGGTTTCAGAGAGTGAATATGTAAATTAATAAATGTTGTAAGGATTATAGCAGTGGCATTAAAAATGTGTATCTTGCAGCACAATAACACCTTGAGCCCTGGCTGAGTAAGTCTGGGAAGTTTCCATTAAACAACAGATGGAGTGTATACAGAGAAGGCAGTTTAATGGAGTATGAATATGTTCGCTATTACTATCTGTGAGCCTGGAAGATGTATGCAAGAAGAATTCTTCTTTGGCAAGATTATGTAAGGTGTGCATGTGCATTACAATACAATAAAGGAGTGAGTGTGTATTGCACACAATTAAGTTCAGGAATAGGAAAATATGACAGAGAGAGGGAGAGAGAGACAAAATGAGATGACAGACATTGGGTCTTACCTGGTCTGGAGAGATCTTGCCCTCCTCTGCTACCATGGCCCTGATTGTTGAGATAGACCCAAAAAGAGGCACAGCCAACCCTACTCTCAGAAACCGCTGACCTTCAGTGTTGAACACCAGAATCACATTCAGGGCCCTAAACAAACGAAGACATACACATTTAGCACATCATCGAATGCACCTGTTCAGTCATGATGCCAATTTGTAGGCCAATTTAGCTAATTCATTATGGGTTCCTAGGTGTTTTTGATTTATGAATAAAAACAGGAAAGTATTTTCAAAGTAATGGTGTCCACACTCCACAGACTCATACATTTTTACTCATAAATTGAAAACTGCCATTCTAAAAACCCATTAGAAAATTCCAGAGGGAACCCACGGCTTAGCACTTCAACACAGTTAACATTAGATAGTACATAATCTATTGCTAAGGGTGGACTGAGAGCTGCAGGGAGGACATATTTTTTGTGAGCCAAAACCCAGAAACAAGTTATCATTTTAGCAGTTTAGTTTCTGTAATCCCGAACCCAATGTTTTGTTTTGTTTTGTTTTGTTTTGTTTTTGAATGGGTTTTTGGTTAAATGCTTGAAATAAGATTTTTAGAAGACACAAATCTTTATTCTGCAACATAAAATAATTCACCCAAAAATAAAATATTGTCAATATTTACTCACCGTAATGCTATTCCAAAACAGTATGACTTTCTTTTCTTCTGTGGAACATGCTTTTTTTTTTCCAGTGGAGGTCAATGTTTTTTGGTTCTCAATGTTCTTAAAAATATCTTCTTTCGTGTGCCACGGAAGGAAGAAAGCAATACAGGTTTGGAATGACATAAAGGTGATAAAAATTATTTCTCATTTTTTTAATGGACCATCCTTTTAACAGTGAGGACATATTTTTTGTGAGCCAAAACCCAGAAACAAGTTATCATTTTAGCAGTTTAGTTTCTGTAATCCCGAGGTCAATGTTTTGTTTTGTTTTGTTTTGTTTTGTTTTTGAATGGGTTTTTGGTTAAATGCTTGAAATAAGATTTTTAGAAGACACAAATCTTTATTCTGCAACATAAAATAATTCACCCAAAAATAAAATATTGTCAATATTTACTCACCGTAATGCTATTCCAAAACAGTATGACTTTCTTTTCTTCTGTGGAACATGCTTTTTTTTTTTCCAGTGGAGGTCAATGTTTTTTGGTTCTCAATGTTCTTAAAAATATCTTCTTTCGTGTGCCACGGAAGGAAGAAAGCAATACAGGTTTGGAATGACAAAGGTGATAAAAATTATTTCTCATTTTTTTAATGGACCATCCTTTTAACAATGATTAAAACCACTGTAACACATCCACTTCTGTCTTATTGCTTTGCTTATTTACCAATACTGCATATGAAAGAATATGTGATAAAGTCAGTAACAGTTTTGCCACAGGGCTACAGACTGAGTCAGTGTAGATATGTCTGTGTTTGTGTGTACAGCTTGTGAAGGTACTGTAGATTAAAACCAGCACGTCTGGACAGTAACACTGCCAAATACACGCATCTTGTGGATGCATATTAGAATCGAGAGCTGATCTGTTTCCAACTGTCTTTGTTTGGCTGGAAATGGCCTCACACAAGCCAGTCGAACAGCAGCTGATTGCCTCAATGCAGCTGCATTTTTCACTGCAGCTGCAGCTGTGGCTCTAAAGACTTGAATGGACTTTCAGATGCTTCTCTGCTGCATTATTGAAAGCCGTATGTGAAATGCTGGACCCAAAAAAAGCACTCAGTTATGCAAAACCACACTCTCACTCGAGTGGACCAGTGAGAAGACAACTGAATCCTTTTAGATTTTATCTCTGGTGGCACGCAGAGGCGAGAATCATGTGACAGGGTTTATATATGTGGTCTTTCAATCAGACACAGCTTATTCTGTGTTTTCAGAGTGTATGTGGATGTGTTAAAGTGCTATACTTCTTGCAAAGACATATTTGTGTACAATTACTTTGAAAAGTTTGCTGCATGCCAAATGTCTGTGCAGACATGAGCTTAATCACATATAATATTCATTAATGTCAAAGCTGAATGCACTAATAGGGTGAATCTGACAAAAAGAAATGTCCAGATCATGTTTCATCCCAAAATCAAAAGAAGGAAATAAGAAAAAATTGCATATATGAAACAGTTAGTGACTTATTAATGTGGCCAATTTTCAGTTGACATTAACACTATGGCAGTAAAACTCAATGACTTTTATATTATTTATAAAAACTATGATTACAAGGGCAGATTGTCGATTAACAAAGATTCATTTTTGCACATCTCCTTGCAATATTATAAGTTCTAAACACTTTTACCATTTATGATTTGTAAACTGATACATTTTAAAGTTTGTATCACATAACCAGCTCCATATGTATCATTTTTCTGACATGGTAAACTTGCTCAGTAGCTCACCTGGTACAGCACTGCACTTACGATGTGAAGCGCTCAGGCATCAGTGAAAAACAAGTCATGATAAAAGAGCTTAAAGATTTGTAGAAGCTAGAGTGGGTGCTTCAAACTTGTGTTTTTCTTATCATGTTTACTTTTGTTAACAGTAGATTTAGGGCAGTTTTAGGTTTAATGATATAGCATTAACCGCTTAGTGCCCCGGGTAATTTCTGAACTGCCACAATATACAATAACTAACATAATGAAACAATGCCAGATTCATGTTCATCTGTATCGGATAAAAGTGAAAGCATTTTAAGTGCCACTCATTGGATATTTCAGTGTTGTGAAACACACAAGAAGCAATGCAGTACCATTTTGCAGAAATGTCACAAGTGGCACGTTTTTCCAATGAGCCTGGGTTGATATTTTAAGTTTTCTAAAGCATTATGATCACTTTCTGTGAGGAACAGACCATAGTGCATTAATGAGAGATGAGAAGTAATGAGAGAAAAAGTGTGAAAGAACCATTATTTTTAATCAGATCATTGTAATACATTGGTTGATCCAGTTCACAAAACTGGATTAAATGATAGCTTTTTCAAGCTTAATCTGGTTATGTCTGGCTCAAATATTCAGTCACAGCAATTTACATTTTTGAGTGAAATAATCTTTTAAATTGTGAAGTAGCCTATATTTGTAAAATACAATTGTAAGTATACATCTTGGCAATATTGCCTGTACAAAAATGAACAAAAAAATTATAGTTCAATTAAAAAAATATTGTGTACAGATTGTATTGCAATAATGAGAATTAAATCATGACAACTCTCTGAAGATTTTAGAATGGTGATGGATATGACAATGTTATCGTATTTGGTCTTGGCGGAATAGATCTGCTACCCTGCTGCTGAATTGCTGCTGCTGTTGGTTATTGCTGTAGTTGTAGATTATTGCTGCTGCTGCAAGCAAGTACAGGAACTTGCTACTGCCAGTGCATATGGCGATACGGTGCCGTGAGTATTTAAGACATACTGCTGCTGCACAAATAGCATATAAAATAACCCGTAACAGATCTATACAGGTGGAGCTGGGGAAGGTGGAGGGTTTCAGAGAAACTCTGAAAGCGTGCTACAGGAATCTCAAGTGAATGCTAGCCAGCCATATAAATGCAAGGCAGTAAGCTCATTGGCTGCATATGCAGCATGAACCAATCAGCTTGTGCCAAGTCGTTTAACTCTCTGAATATAATCTGAATATAATCGTATAATACGTTAACAACCCATCAGACTGCGCCATCTAGAGTTTCATGACTGAACTATATATTTAATTTATTTTACAAAAATGACAATGTTTTTTTTTAAATAAGAAAGTATTTCATGAAAGTTTTGATGAGTTTCAGCCAACAGCTCAATGAAAGAGACTGATCTAATCATTTATTGTATTTGGTATCTCTATTGGCAGAGGATGACCAGCGGCACTGTTCTGACCAGCAGCACTTTGGTACTGTAGGCTGAGGACATCTGATTGGCTCCCTAAAGTCTTGCCCAGGAGTTCAGCTCGCATGTGAGCAGTGCTAGTCTGCTAACAGAATTGTTACTGTCTGTCCATGGCATTTGTCTAATTTAATTTGATGTCTTTCTAATAATTCATAACAATAAGTATGGCAGGTTTTAGCACTAAAACTAGCACTCACTGACATTTACTGACGACCTTCAAATTTGGACCCTAAGCTTTCAGTGCAGACATTCTCTTTTCAATTTAATGAATGTGAAATCTGGCAGTTAGGGATTCAGAGATGAGCATGCTGGAAAATCTGAATGTTTCGGACAGTATTACTACAATTCTTCATGATGAGCCATAGTTCTCTCTATATATTTCTCTCATTCTATTATCGGTTTTTACTGACAGGTTGACAGTCTCAACAGAGAGATTTTGCTGACTGGCAGTTTTTGAGATTTAACAAAATTGAGATAATGTTCTGTTAAGAGCTGTGCACTTGGTCATTCATCACATGCAGTATTTCAGGGTGACCAAGGACACAAACAAACTTAAACACACAATAGCAAAAGGTACACAGACACACATTTACTGTATATACAAACACGCATCAAAATAAATATACAGACAAACAGTCCTAATAGATTCCAAAGAAATAGAGACAGAAGACAAAGTAACATACCTGGTCTGTCGCAGTGGGATTGGAAGTGAAATACACAGGAAAGGGTCAAAAGTGTTGCTCTGTTTAAGGCAATGAGGGCACGTCAGTGATGACCTGAAAAATAGAAATGACATTTAATTCTACCTGGAATCTACCAATGAACTGCACTGTGTATCAGTGGCGCCTGCAGCTGTATTGCTATATGCACTGTGCATACCTGGAGCGCTTTGATTGACCTGAGAAACATTTTCCATGAAATTTGAAGGAGTTATTATTTGTGTTGACTGAAGCAGCAATGCCAATCATCCGTGATTTAATCATTCTTTTGAGTCAGTTCTCCCTTTTCAGTGAACGGGCCGAACAAGATTGCATTTATTTGGACTGTTCTCTCACTGAATTACATAACCCTGGCCAGGGGTCTGAAATGAATGGGTGCAAATTGGACAAAAATGCCCCTGCACAATTAAGCTAAATCTAAAATAAATAAATAAATAAATGTTCTGTATCTGTGTGTACCCTCAAATAAAATCCTGCAGTCACCCATGTTCTGTATCAGCAATTTTTCTATTGTAAAATGTTTATACACTCCATGGCCAAAAGTTAAAAGTACAAATATTTCATTTTTACAGTAAAAAAATTGGCTTTAATAAGGAGTTGGTCTTCCCATGGCTACTAAAACAACTTTGAATCTTCTGGAAAGGCTGTCGGCATTTGCTGCCATTGAGACCCAAGAGCGTCTGTGAGGTCATGTATGTTTGGTCATGGGGTTTGACTCTGATTTGGCATGCCAATTCATCCTGTGTTTAGTGGGTTCCAGGTCTGGTCTTTAGGCCAGTCAAGTTCTTTAACACCAGATTCAGGAAATTATTTCTTTATGAATCTCACATTGTGAGACATGTAAAACAGAAAGGGTACAGCCAATTCTATTAAAATGTGTGTCTAAGGAGACTACATGACTGTATGCTTTATTTGTGTAGCTTAAATTTTCGAAAACCTTTTGTAAGATTCATATGATAACTTCAAAGAGAGTCTGATTCTCATTCTTACAATTTGACCTATGCTTTTCGTTAATATGTAAAGGTTTAGGGCTTTCTCTTCTCATCCTTCAGTATTTTTGCCACAACTGGCTTGAGGTTGTTAATGCAGATACAGCATAGGCCTTTATATTTAATAAATTCCCTATTAAAGAATTGCTTCCCTATGGTTTATTGTCTTGTTTTTTATTTGCCACATCATGCTAATCCTAAAACTATTTTATATTTTTCTTAAATTCCCTGACAATTTTGCTTGTCAAGCTCCTTTTCTCCTTGTCTTGAATTAATGTAAAAAAAGAAAACCCATAAATGTGTGGAAAGCACAGTTGTTTTGCATGATGTGGACAGAGGGGACTGCTTGAGCACGTCTGTCTCTGAGCCCAATATAGAGCTTCCCTTCATGACTCAACAGCTGAACACTGGAAATGTATTTGAGTTCTGCAGGTGCAGCGTGTTCACCTGCAGAGCAGACGACAACTCGCAAACCAGGAGAGATGCGCACACGCCTACATGACTGTATGCTTTATTTGTGTAGCTTAAATTTTCGAAAACCTTTTGTAAGATTCATATGATAACTTCAAAGAGAGTCTGATTCTCATTCTTACAATTTGACCTATGCTTTTCGTTAATATGTAAAGGTTTAGGGCTTTCTCTTCTCATCCTTCAGTATTTTTGCCACAACTGGCTTGAGGTTGTTAATGCAGATACAGCATAGGCCTTTATATTTAATAAATTCCCTATTAAAGAATTGCTTCCCTATGGTTTATTGTCTTGTTTTTTATTTGCCACATCATGCTAATCCTAAAACTATTTTATATTTTTCTTAAATTCCCTGACAATTTTGCTTGTCAAGCTCCTTTTCTCCTTGTCTTGAATTAATGTAAAAAAAGAAAACCCATAAACATTCTTAAAAAAAGATAGATGCATTAAGAAGATATTAGGACTTACTGTATTTTCACGAGTACATAATTCATTTAAATTCTTTTTATCATCACATCTACAAACACTTTTCTTTTTAAGGGAAGTTCACACTACACTTTCTGTTCCATTTCACTGCATTTTAAAGTTCAAGTCTGGTCAACTCTGACTGAATTTGTGAATTTCTGAATTTGTATCACGAGAAGACCAACCGTTTAAGTGTCCGTTTAAGTGTCTGAAATTTTAGTGTCTGTGACCCTTCTAGCATTTAAATATGTCTACTGCAGAGCAGACGACAACTCGCAAACCAGGAGAGATGCGCACACGCTCTCATATTCACAGAGACAGGAAGCTCTGGAATGCAAGGATTTCAGTATCTCAGTGGGAACAAAAAATTTAAAAATGAACGCGGAAGCAGAGAGGATGATGGGAGTGAGAAACAAAGATAGAAGAGACATCTGTAAGTGGAATAAATGAAAAAGAAAGTGAAGGAACAGCAGACGTGGAATGTGGCTGAGATTGCATCATGTTGGGGTCCAATTGTCTCTCGTGAACTCGGCAGAGCTGTCATATCAACCGGTGGAGACCCCTTAAAATAGCAGCGCACACCTACCACCACACATACTAAACAGATTATTTTTGCACCACATACAAATAAATGATGCACTTGTTAGGGTGAAAGAGTGTATGGGGAGTGTGGAGAGTGTAGATGAATAATGAAGAGGGGTGAAAATAACAGCATGTGAACATTATATCAGCAATGACAATAATTGGCTGCTCATTAACTGTGCATAATTAGAAATTAAATTGGTAGAATAATTTTGTGGCTTATACTTTGCCATACAGAGCCATGGCAGAATCAACTCCGTACCACTTTCACAAAAATAATAAAAAGGGACAAATACTTTTGCATAAAATGTTTTTGGAATTTTAGAACTATTTGATAAACTTATCAAACATATATCATTTAATTACTGTCACAGTTGCTTGGACGAGTAGGACAGAGTTGAGGTGAGGAGCTATTGGCAAGCAGCATATATTTATTTATTACACAAAAACAAAAAAAAGTCTGGAACTAGTAACAAGAGAAATGCAGGAACAACACTAACCAACCTAACAAGAAGAACAGACAAAGAATTGAACCAAACAGGGGGTATAAATACACAGGAAAAAGGACTAATCAATTAACCAATCACAAACCAAGGACACTGGAACTAATAGGCAGTGAAAGTGAACTCAAAGGCCCCTATCATACACCCAGCGCAATGCGCAAGTGTGTTCAGGCGCATTGTTGGCACATTGCTATTTTGTGGAACTGAAAATAGACTGCGCCATAGACCAACTCAAACCTGGTCTAAAGTCTAAAGTCATATAAACAATATTTTTTTTTTGTTATTTAAAGAGCGCGTTAGTAGAAAAAGCACCTCTGGGCGGGTCCACAACGCGCGTTCACTTTGCTTATTACAAACAAACATTTTTAAATATGAAACAATAACATTTATTATTATTACGGTGTACATAAATATAAAAATTGCCTACATGTCATAATGGACAGTCATTGCATATATTAGAATTAGGCTACCTATTTGCTCGCGCACGAGCAGATCCGTTTCCTCTCTGGAGACGCGTTCTGTCTTTGCGCTTGCATACATAAATATAAAAATGCCTACATGTCATAATGGATAGTCATTGCATGTATCAGAATTAGGCTACCTATTTGCCTGTGCACAAGCAGCTCCGTTTCCTCTCTGGAGACGCTTTCTGTCTTTGCGCTTGCAAATTCCGCCATGGCACGAGTGCAAGGGAATGGGAGATGAGACTCTGATTGGTTTATTGCATGTTATGCCCAAAAAACACCCATTATTCATTAAGAGAATAGGGACAACCCGTTTAGACCATGCACCCGGGCGCGCCGACCGTTTTCCCGTCGTTAAACTAGCAAAGGTGGATTCGGACATGCCCTGAGTGCAGCTGCGCCGTGCACTTTAGACCATGCGCTTAGATCATTAAAATAGGGCCCAAAGAACCAAAACTAGACAGATAATGTGAGAATTAACAAAATGCAAAAACAAAAACAACCTTGTTACAGCATGTTTTAACAGGATTACAAAGAAATATAACAACATTGTGACACTCGAGAAGTAACATAATTTGGAACTTTTCTATAGAGAATGTGAAGCTAAGTCACGCCGCGTTGCATGCTGGGGTGCCGCCACCATTCTGGGAGGATCACATTCTGCAATAAATGCTGAAATTAATATGGATACCTGCTTATCTTCTGTTTTGTTTTTGCCTTGAAGTTAAATATTCACATTCTTCATTGGGTCATTTGCAGGGAAGAGAAGCTATTTTATCGCTTCGCATGATAATTAAATTTTTCTCCTAAGATTTGTAGAATTTCGTTTACAATGTTGATCTGATTACCGTGAAAACAGTGTCACCCGCTGGATGCTTGCTGCTGCTTCAGCCATCAAATGGTAGATTATTCAAATAAAATGTTTGTTCAACAAGCTGACAGATGTCGATCCATTTAGTATGCTTTTTAGGTGTGAATAGAATGTGGTATTTTAATATCACTGTCTCAGTGCATTAAGCGTTCTTTATATGAGAGGAAACTTGTTGCATTCACATTTTGGGCTTATGTGTGTATCTGCACATAGTATGCTTTACAATTTTGTCTCTATCACTATCTTGGTACCTTAAGCAACATTAAGCGTTATTTGTGTGAAGCATTTTAATGTTCAAGTTCTGCTAATTCACAAGCCGAGTGAGAGAGTCATACTCGCAAAGGTAATGTTAATTATTAAACCAAACAAAATCAAAACTTTCAAAAACACAACAATTTGATTCTTTTATTGAGTGACAGACAGTGGGTTTAATCTGTGACATTATTAATAGATTTACTATCTGGTGTCTTCTCGTCATCTCTGCGACCTGATTCCTTTGGTGTTTTTACACAGAAAAGTGAAAAACAATATACTGCATTGTCCAGTTGCAGAATGATGATCGGAGTTACTTTTGCAATTCTCGATGCAGCATTAACGACATACAACGGTGAAATTTTTCACAATCACGACAGAAAATCAAAATACCGCCCTAAACTTAATAGCAGAATGGCCAGGATGGTAGATAAACAAAGTACAATGTAGTTTCCCAGAACTT